TGGAGGTCCTGTACACAGGTTAGAAACCTGCGTGAGCGGTGGGACTTTGCCATCTGTGTCTCCCAGCAGATGTCTGGGTAGTTTAGGTCCCCCATGACTACCGCCTCTTTAGCTTTTATGGCCTCTGAGAGCTGCCTCAGGAGCCCCGCATCTATTTCTTCCCCTTGCTGTGGGGGTCTGTAGCAGACCCCTACCACCAAATCCCTTTCTCCTTACCCCCCATGTAGCCTAACCCACAATCCTTCTACTTCCTCATCCTTGGATTCCGTCTTGATGAGGGTTGACGTATATTGCTCATTGACATAGAGCGCAACCCCTCCCCCTTTTTTCCCCACCCTGTCCTTTCTGTACAATCTATAACCCTCAATTACAGCAGGTCTTCCCAGCTGTGCTTTGCAAGCTTGTTTTTGCACAATCCACATACAGTCAATGGCATCCACCAGTGTCAAGACTTCACATGCAGATTATAGGGCTGGTTCTTCACAGGCACCAAAGGGAAAAGCACAAGTCCCACTGACTCCCTCCCCATCTCCAGCTGCTCCTAGTTGTCTTGAATAAGGGCTTCTCGTCCAAGGAAGAGGTTCAAAACTAGTCAGCAAGAAAGGAAAAGCATGGATTCCTTAAGCATAAGCTATAGGACAAAAATATGGTTTGGGGGGAGTCTGAAACACTCTACCTCACCGAGCAGCAGCAGAACAAGTGTTCAACTTCAATTATAAATACTCTAACGGAGGATCCACACTGGGCCCAGGTTCAGGCCCACAGAACAGGAAAGGAAACACTGGGGATTAGGCTGAACTGCAAATAGCTATTAGGCCCCCTTACCTGTATTTACATGTTCTCCAAATGACAAAACAAGCAAAAAATGTTATGCCAAGAATCCCCACTCACCTCATCGATAGACACCACATGGGGAGATCCATTAACGACTGAAGTCTTCCGATACCTACTGGTCAGCTGACATGGAAGTTTGATCAGAGTGGCAACTCCTTCAACAGTCTGTGCCAGTTTACAGACAAAGTAATCTAGAAAAGCAGAACAAGACATCAGAAATAAAAAGGCATTTTGCAGCTTAAGTGTATATGGAAGTCACTGCTAAGTCCCACGTGATATCAGAGTATGTAAGAGTTTTCTGTATGTTACACACAATGCTGCCAGCATAATTGCTAATAATGATTTTTCAAGTGGAATGCCTCTCTGACATCAGGGCAGCCAACTGGAGCTCAGCTCCAAGGCCCTCCCTCCCTCCCAAGGATCAGGGAACATACTTCAGCTTGGGAATCCTGTGATCATACTTGCTCTGTAAGAAACCAGTGATAAAGTCACACAAAAACATGAACTCTCTTGTAGAACTGAAATTCTGTTCCCCAACCAGCTCTAGCTGTCAAGAGATTTGGGGGCTTTATTACAGATTTCCTTAAAAACAAGCAACCCCCTTAACTTTCCAAAGAAAGCAAAATTCATCTTCAAATTAAAGCCAAAAAGCAAAGAGGCATACCCTGCCAGAAAGCATCCCTCACTACCATTAGCAGGCCTTCTGGCCCAGTAGTTTCAAGCAAAACACCAAGTTCTATAGATGTCAGCATTTGGGTACAACACTGAAGTAAATGAGTTGATACATACTAAAGAGAGTTGCTAGAAGCCAATTTGCTCTATTTACTGAGACTTGTATACTCTTCCCAAGGAGGGGTGGCGGTGCTGGAATGAGAGGGGAACATACCAAGTTGAATGTTTTCAATTGCCACACGCCTTCAAAGTGCACAAATGATGTTGCTACCACTATTCTGCAGCAGAAAAGGCATGTTCCTTGCAAGGCTAATAGCTTCCTAAGACCAGTTTTATGCTTCCCCTTCATACTCAGGCTGTAGAGTTGTCCTTTAGCTAAAAGAACACCAGATTTACCTCTGCCCTTTTTCAGTTAAGAAATGGCTGACCAACTTGGACCCTCACAACTCATGCCAAACATTCCAAGCTAAAACCATCTCTCCAGCTCATGTTTAAAGGATACTGGGGCTACAGCTGTTAGTCTGAGTCCAAATCTCTGAAAGAGTGATAAATGTGGGAGTTGAAAAGCAGGAGATAAAAACGTTTGACCATTTCACTATTCCCTCCCAGTCTCAGCTGCCTGCCTAGTTCTACACTCTACCACCTCCTCTCCCTTCCTCCAGAATATGACATTCTCTCAGAACTCAGACTAGTCTTTCCCACTTCCAGCTCAGAACTTTTCCCGGATGCACCACTGGTCTGCATTCCCTGCACCTACCTATTCTTTTACCTTTAACAATTCAGAAACATCTTACCATATACTCCAGACTCAGAAAAAGCACCCTAGATTCTATATTCTTTCCTCATGCTGCAATCTACAGGGTGCATTTTGAATAGCAGGAGAGAATATGAACATAGGCAGCATGATGCATGCGACTGAGGGCCAAAAATATTCCAGAATAACTTTGGTCCCCTGCTCTGCACCTCACCCCTCTTCTAGCATTTTACATGCGGAAGGACACAAGTCCGCCAGGGGCAGCCCACATTGCAGGAACAGGTCAGGCATCCCTCCCAGTGCCAGTAAACGTATTGCAGGAGACCACACACTGCCCATTTCACAGATGGCTCTGCTCCATCAGCCTCTAACAACACCCACTTCCAGCCATGCAACCAGGTGGTTAGAGGGTCAAAGGGGAGGCAGGGAGAAGAGAAATGTTTGGAAAATAAATAAATAAATAAATAAAAATTCAATTGCTTATGAGCATCTGACCATCCTCTCTCACATGCACAAGCAGCAAGCGTATTGTTTAAGGGCACGCTGCACAATATAACAAAATAATATGCAATACCTAATCTTTGCCTTTTTGATTGTATCTGGTCAGGGTCTTCCACAGCTGAATGAATGCTGAGAGAAAAGCAGACAAAACAGTTATTTACAGCAACTGACCTTCGTTTTTAAGAGCGAGCCCTTTTCACTCAAAAGCCCAAAACATATGATATAATCCCATACATACAAACCTGTTTACTTTACCTGCCCACAAAATATTTCCTTACAGGCACCATTAAAAACCAAGTGATTATAGAGGAATATTAGAAGCCTGATAAGGCTGAAGCCATTGTTACCTTGAGCGTTGTGTGAACACAGACAACATGGGACCTTAACTTGTGCAGCCCAAAAAATGCACTCTTCACCAACTATCCTCATTGCATTCCAGGGTCTCATGTCACCCATCCCACATGCATTCAGTGACTGACCAAAATAAGCAGAGATTTACATTTAGCCAACATGACTGCACAGAACACTTAGTTGCTTGGTACTAGCCATGCAGTTAAGCAAAGTTGACCCCCATCAGAATCAGAAGGGGTTTAGTCAGCCTTGCTGTGCTTATGACTGAACTCAGATGTTTGTCCACAGGGAGAAAAAAGAAAAAAATATTACTGAGGACATAAGATGGAAGTGTGCACATTTGAGTACAGTGGCTTTAAGTTAAGCTCATGAACCCATTTGGTTTTTGAAGCTCCTCAACTGGTGGTGCAACAAGCAAGGCAGATGCATTATTTCCTCAACAAGCAGAGTAAAACCATTTTCTTCTGTACCACTGGAGTCATTTTGAAAGTGGCAATGAAGTGTGGCAAATGGTTACACTTGCAAGACAATTCCAATACCTTCCTTCTGGGTTCTGGAGAACCACTGAAGTATTACCAGGATGGGAATAGTACAGAAAAGGTCATTGGAGGCTTTTGGCAACTAGAATGGAGGTTTTTTATTTCCTCTTGCCTGGGATGTGAGCAGATTTTCTTTTAAAATAAATTTAAGCACAACTCAGGTCAGGTCCACACTGCAAGTTCTCACTAGATTAACAGTATCAGTAGGGGTTGTTAGGTGGTGTAGTATGGCTGGCACAGCTGTGCAGCAAGAGCCCCTGGTGTGGGCACAGTTCATGGCAAGAGTCGAGCATTTTGCCAGCCCGCCTTATTTCATGCTGTTGGGGCAGGGGACAGGGGAATGAAAGCACAGATCTGGAACAAGCCAGGACCTCAGATCCATTCTGTGCAAAACACTGCAAATGCCTTCTGTTCCCGTCTCGTGCAGTGCCAGCTGCTTGGCATGTCTGAAGTCAGCCCCTGGCACACAGTAAAATTACAGTCAAACATGCTGTCAAGGGAGAGGCTCCTACAGGAAGCAGCATCCTCAACAATACGTGCTTAGGTCTCTGGGAACTCCAAGACCTTTTTAAGTTACCAGGAACTCTGGAGCTCCCAGACATCAGCAGGGAAGGGTAAAGTCATCTGATCTTCAGTGTAAAGACAAACTAAAGTAGGAATCTTGTGCTCAGTTTTGATCCTGTTTCGTATAAGTTGGACAGGGGCTGCAATTGGCCTGTTTGACAAGTGAACTTCTGAAGAAGAGGGTCAGAAGAGGTACAGCTAGACAGATTAAACTCTATTGTACAGTAGCATCCTCTTCCTTTCCCCTCTGTGAAGATCGCAACTAGTTAAGTATCCCATTGTACTGCAGGACCTCTGATGGGCAGTGTGATGCGTCAGAAACTAGTTATGGCATGGACAATCCACAGTGTTTATCACAATCTGGCCTTGGGCTTCAGAAGAGCAGTAAATCCCATTTTATACTTGAAATCATAGAAAAGCAGGGCTGGAATTGACCTCAAGAGGTTATCTAGGCCAACCCCCCACACAAGGGGAGACAGAGCTGGAGAACTGAGGCACAAAGAAACTAAGCAACTTGATCAAAGTCACATATGGAACATGAGATGGAGCAAGGACTGCTTCTAGTTCCAGGCTGGTTCCCTAATCACTAAGCCATCCTTGACATGGAAGCCATCAGGAAGTTACCAACATAGATGCAACACCTTTGACTTCATTTTTTATGAGACACCTGTGTATATTTTTGTCCCATAATTCATGTTTGCGAGTACATGAGAATGTATGTTCGGGAGAAGTGGTATGTTGTGCCATAATGTTGGTACTGGCCACGGGCAACAACCTGATACGGGGTCTGCGGGTGCTCAACCACCTGGGCGATAGCGATCGTCTGCTGGAATTTACCATCCAGCGCAAGGTGGTAAAAGCTTCCAGCAAGGCAGCAACCCTCAACTTCAGGAGGGTGGACTTCAACAAGGTGAGAAAACTAGTGGGGGAAGCCCTGAGGTCCCAGGGCAGGAGGGAGTTGAGTGTCCAGGAGGAGTGGTCACTCCTTAAGGAGACGATCCTCCAAGCTCAAAGGGAAGTAATCCCTACACAAATCAAAGTGGGCAAGAGGGCACAAAGACCCCCATGGCTCACCAAAAGCATCCGGGAACGTCTCCAAACAAAAAAAGGAGGCATACACCCGTTGGAAGGGAGGGGCCATCACAAGACAGGGCTATAACTCGGTAGCTTGGGAATGTAAGGGGGCAGTCAGGAAGGCCAAGGTGGAAATGGAGCTGGGACTAGCAACCCAGATCAAGGACAACAAGAAGTCCTTTTTCAAATACACAGGGGGGCAAAAGAAGGTGCCAGGTAATGTGTGGCCTTTGCAGGACATGCTAGGAAATCTGGTCATCTCACCTGACAGTAAAGCTGACATATTCAACAATTTCTTTGCCTCCATATTTCTGAGGAAGGACGCAGATATCTCCCCCATTGGCGCCCCCCACCCCGCCGAGGGCCCTGTGGGTGGCACACCCAGGCCTAGGGTTAATGAGGACCTTGTCAGGGGACTTCTGGAGGGACTAGATGTATTTAAATCCACAGGTCCTGATGATCTCCACCCCAGAGTGCTGAAGGAACTAGCAGGGGTCATTGCGGGACCTCTAGCACAGCTCTATGAGCACTCATGGCATAAAGGCGATGTGCCGGAGGACTGGAAAAGGGCCAATGTGGTCCCCATCTTCAAAAAAGGGAGGAAGGAGGACCCAGGAAACTATAGGCCCGTGAGTCCTACCTCGGTCCTGGGGAAGCTTTTCGAAAGAATTATCCTGACACATGTCCAGGAAGGGTCAGCAGGGGAGGTTATGCTCAGGGGCAACTAGCATGGGTTCATTGGGGCAGGTCTTATCAAACCAACCTGGTGGCCTTCTATGACCAGGTCACCAAGTCCTTGGATGCAGGTGTCACAGTGGATATAGTCTTCCTGGACTTCAGGAAGGCCTTTGACACTGTCTCTCACCCCATTCTCAGTAAGAAACTAGGAGACAGTGGTGTTGATGCCTACACGGTCAAATGGGTCACTAACTGGCTGGAGGGCCGCACCCAGAGGGTGGTAGTGGACGGGTCTTATTCGACCTGGAGGGATGCGGGCAGTGGGGTTCCCCAGGGCTCGGTCCTCCGGCCTGCACTACTCAACATCTTCATAAGTGACTTGGGCAAGGAGGTAGAAAGCACCCTGTTCAAATTCGCAGATGACACCAAGATGTAGGGTGAAGTGGGTACGCTAGTAGGAAGGAACAGGCTGCAGGTGGATCTAGACAGGTTATAGGGGTGGGCAGATGAGAACAGGATGGGATTCAACACTGACAAGTGCAGGGTAATGCACCTGGGGAGGAAGAACCAGTGGCACACCTACAGGCTGGGGAACTCCCTTCTCGCCAGTGTCGAGACAGAAAAGGATCTTGGAGTCATCACTGATGCCACAATGAACATGGGCCGGCAGTGTGGGGATGCAGTCAGGAAGGCCAACCACACCTTGTCGTGCATCCACAGATGCATCTCAAGCAGGTCCAAGGAGATCCTCCCCCTCTATGCAACACTGGTCAGGCTGCAGCTGGAGTACTGCATCCAGTTCTGGGCGCCGCACTTCAGAAGGGATGTGGCCAATATGGAGAGGATCCAAAGGAGGGCCACCTGCATGATCGGGGTCAGCAGAGCAGGCCCTACGAGGAGAGGCTGAGGGACCTGAACCTGTTCAGCCTCCAAAAGAGAAGGCTGAGAGGGGATCTAGTGGCAGTCTACAAACTAATCAAGGGGGACCAGCAAGCATTGGGAGAGTCCCTGTTCCCCTGAGCAATCCCAGGAGTTACAAGAAACAATGGACACAAGCTAGCGGAGGGTAGTTTCAGGCTAGATATTAGGAAGCACTATTTCACTGTCAGGGCAGCTAAGACCTGGAACCAACTTCCAAAAGAAGTGGTGCTGGCTCCTACCCTGGGGGTCTTTAAAAAAAGGCTGGATGAACATCTGGCCGGGGTCGTTGGACCCCAGTACTCTTTCCTGCCATGGCAGGGGATTGGACTAGATGATCTCCTCAGGTCCCTTCCGACCCTACCAACTATAAAACTATGAAATACAGGTGGAGAGGGAGGAATGGATGAAGACAAGAAGTCCCTGAATGTACCCTTCCTTCCTGCATCCTCTATATGGCCTGGAAACTTAAACAGAACTGCACCTGGACATAGGTCCCAATGCCCCTGAGTCTTAACAGTCCAATTCTGGCAAGCAAACAAGTCAGTCTAGAGTCAGCTCACCTTCCCCAAGAGCTTTCCAGGAACAGTTTCCTAGCACAGGTAACTGGCAACGAAGTAACAGATAAGAGCATGTAACAGGAAAGATTAATCATTTACTACTTTCAAATATCTGACTAATAAGAGCTGAGATAAGCTCTTCTGTGGAGTCTTGCCTCTCTTGCATTTAGCGTTTCTGCAGTCAGTATAAGTAACCTGTCCATTCGTGAGACTTTAAAAATAATCTTTGATCACCAAGCAAGACTAGTTTGTCCATCCCTTCTGCAGCTTAGGCATGATGGCTAAAGAAAGAAGTCAGAAACTCCCAAGCCCGTGAGAAGACCAACCAAAAACCTGGAAGTAGAAAAAGATGAGCAGACACACACACACACTTTCATTAGGACTATATAGTGTTCAAAACCAAGTTGGAAAAGAAGAGTGAGACCAGGGAGATATATCATTTATTAAAAAAAAGACTGAAAAGGAGATGTGCACTCCTAACCCAATCATTTGAAAAACACACTTCAAGTGAAGGAAAACATCCTCCTCCATCCCTCTTCCCAGTTTCAGAGGACAATGCCCATCTCAGGTCATTGTTTTCACATATTTTAAGCAGAATTAAATTTCTCTTTAATAACTGCAAAAGTGGATGCATCATAGCAGCAGAACCACCCTGACATATACGTACGCAAGATCAGGCCCTGTTCTTTTCATACCCTTTTTCCAACCAGTGTAGAGGACAGTTGATTGGGGCATAATTTAAAGCTGTAAAGAAAAAAAAATCAAATTTTCATTTGTTAACCGAGAAGGTTGAATTCTTGACTCCAGGGTCTAGTGTACTACTGGCTAAATGTTTTCATTCCTGCCCCTGCTGAAATGTCTTGCTCTACTCCACGTCTTAATAATTGATCTGGTTTTGGATCCATGGGCAACTGGTGCCGCCTTAGTCAGGGGGAGCACATGTCCCCCCTGCAACCAGTCTCAGCAAGGGGGGGCAGGGGTGTCCCCCCACAGGTGATCCTGCAATCCCAGGGGGCTGCGACTGATTGCTGCACTGGCTGTAGCCGCTTCTGGGAGCAAGCGCCGGCTGATCACTGCAGCCACTCCCAGAAGCAGCTGCAGCCACTCCCGAAAGTGGTTGCAGTGAGTGCAGCAATCGGCCACCGCTTGCAGGGGGGGCACTGACGTTCCCGCCTGCCCCCACTGCCCATCGCCTAAGCGGCGAGTGTGGCCATCAGGGGGTGCACCAACGTGCACCCCCTACACGTCGCCACAGTTTGGATCCCAGTCACTCAGTGTCCAACATTCTAAGCATACCCCAAATTCTTTTCAGTCTTTCCCTTAGAGTAACTGTGCAGCTGGACTCAAGGAAGCACATACAATACTAGTACATCTGTCTTTGACCAGAGGCAACTAGTGAATGTTTGAAGACTTCTTTGGATAAGAATTTCAGAAAATGAAATGTTTTTCAAGATTGCTGGTAGAAGAAAAAAAGGATTACAGACATACAGAAGTTGCTCGTGCCAGCTGTCAGCATGCCCATCTCCCTGTTATCTTTTCCATATAACTGCAAGATAGAAGTTATTTTCCCTTGTAAGGGGAATTTGAAGCTCACCCTTGAGGCACTGAGCTAGTCATACAAGAAATTAACCTCAGTTTCATTTAGGTGTGGGTCTGAAACTTATTTGGACAGACCAGGGCAAATGTCTGTAGGCAAGCACAGTCTGGACTGAGAAGGGTTTACTTCAGTTTCACCCAAAATTAATGCATAATCAATTTTAGAAGAACCAAAAAAAGACTGGGTTTATATGGGAGCATCCATTCAAACAGGAGCAGCCATTCAGCCTTTTGCGCTGGTTTAAAGTTTGCGGATTAAAACAACTCAGTGCTCAACAAGACAGGGTCTCACTATGTGGCCAAATACCTGCCCATTCAAGTTCCACTCATCCCAGTGCAGTCAGGCCATGTCACTACCTGGGAATTTTCTTTGCTGTGCAACAACCTTTCCAGAAAACACGATTCCCTGACTAGGTTAGAAGCAGCTTAACTTTTACAAGGGATACAGCCAATCTCCAACCACCTGCTTAGCTAATCTGCTACTACAGTTTGCAACGGTAAGCAAATGCTCAGAGGAAGATATGAAGCCCTACTAGATGCACGTAATTCAGTGCTAGAGAGCTGAAAAAAAACAACTGTTCCAACCATTCCCCTTGTACAGGGCTCGTGATGGAGAACAATGCCCATATACCACAAGCCAAGCTCTTTTCTCCTTGGAAGCTTTCTTACACAGAATCTACAATAGTGAGTTCTTACACTGGTTTTGTCTCTCAGTTGGGGCAGGAGACCTCAACTACCAATACTGAAAGATGCTTTTCCACTAGGACCAGTCAGAAGATGAACTCGGGAAGAGGTGTGAAGCAGCTTTCTTCTGCAGCATCCCTCTGACTGGACACCATCAGCCCTGCTCACCCATTCAATACAAATAGTGTCATCTAGGACAGGGGTTTTCAACCTTTTTAAATAAGTGTATCCCCGGTAGCTGGATGTGAAGCAGCAGCAGCGTGGGGTGGTGGGTGGCAGCAGTGGACCCCTCCGGTTGACAACTCCTGATCTAGGACATAAAGACAAAATCTTCAGGCTTTAACTCCCTCCAAAAATTTTTCTTCTCATTACAGCAAGCAGCTCTCTCAAATGTGTTTAGTCAAGAATGGTCGAAGCATTCAAGTTGGGAAGAAAGTTCCACTTCCTCATAAGTCCAGGTGCAGAATCAGTACTGTCTGACAGTAGACAATGGTGACTTCTGTTATGCAAGAAAAGGTTCTCTAGCAAAGGCTGTTTGTTTGTTTTTTTACCAAAAGAAGTGGTACAGAACAAGAGTCTCACAAGGACACTTCAGTAGGAGCTGAAGCATAAAGGCCTAGACGAACAGAAGATGCAATCCCTCCCATTCAGTCCAGACTCCCTCATTGGCTGGAGCTCAGAAGTTGAAATCTGATTGAGGTGCACCCCAGTTACTTTCCCCTACTCTGTGAACCAAGAGCAGCACCGCCCTAAAGCAAGACTGATGCAAGGACCTTTACACTAAAAACAAAGCTCCACTTGGAGAAGAGCAAGCTAACAAGTCTTTGGGAACTAACTACATTAATACAGATGCAGGTAGCGTGCAGTGCTAAGAAGCAGTGACACTGACACAAAACTGCATCCATATTGGCAACACGATACAAAAGACTTCAGACTTCATACCAAAAAGAATCCTGTCAGACAATCCCTGCCTGGTCTCTGGTTGAGGAAAGATTAAAACATATCTAGTGAAAAAATTCACTAGGACCCTGTAGAGGATAGATGTGACCACATCTTTTAGATAACTGAAAAGATTGCACAAAATAAAAAGTGAGCACTGCAATACATTATATCAAATGAAATCATGAAATAAAAATGTTTAGGCTGAATGTTTTCTTCTCCTGATAATCAATAAGGTTTCAGAAGCCTCAGCAATTAGATATTCAGAGCTAAAAAGAATCAGGTCCTGAAGAAGCCTAGAAAAAACGATATGTTAACATTGAGGTGTAGAGGCTAACTTGGAGCCAATAGCACAAACTTTACTAAGCCCCCTTGAAAGGACAGGTGCAAGCCTGTTGTAGAAATGTGAAGATTTGAAAATATAAAAGGGAAAG